GGATTCCCACTCGCAGGCCAACACCGGTGACATCTGAACCAGTAGCTGGGTCTCCCTTAGGTCGACTCAGCCTCAAACGAGTACCTGGCGCAATGTGTAAACATCGCCACTGGGGAGACAAAGGCGGCCGGGCGTAGTTGCTGGCCACCCACCCCATCGTGTGCCGTGCCGGCCTTCATGAGTGCTTCTCGCTAACAGCACTTGCCCCGAAAGTCTATTGAGGCTACACGGGCTTTGTGTGGTGAGGGAGCGGTGGCGCAGGTGGTTAGCGCACTGCGCTACTACCGATCCAGGCCACTTAAAAAAGGGAAATTTGTGGCTACACTGCCCTCTGCTGCCAACGTAAAACCTCGCCCAGCCGATATGCACTGACGGTGGCCAATCCAAGGTCGATTCTCGCTCACTGCCACCACCAACACGGGTGACGATTATCTGGGCCTCCCCTAGGTCGACTCAACCTCAAATGAGTACCTGGTGCGATGTATAAGCATCGCCACTGGGGAGACAAAGGCGGCCGGGCGTGGTGCTGGCTACAAACCCCGCTCGTGTGCCGTGCACGCTTTCATAAGTGCTACTGGTTAACAGCACTTGCCGCAACAGTCTGTAAAGGCTGTATACATAGGGGGACTGTATTTATGTACGTATGTTTCAACCTAGGTCGACTCAGCCTAAAATGAGTACCCGATGCGATATGTAAACAGCACTGGGGAGACAAAGACGAGCAGGAGTGGTTTCTCGCCACACCGCTTCATCGTGCGCGCTAATGGGTTTTCGCTCACCGCACTAGCCCCAGCTGTCTGTCATGGTTACAGGGGGAACTTTGACTTTGTATGTGTATGCAGTACTGTATGTAAATGTCATTGTGTATACGTGTCCGTATGTGTGTTTTATCTGTGGGAGACAAAGGCGGTCGGGCGTGGTGCTGGCTGGCCACCTACCCCCCCCCCCCCCACCGTGTGCCGTTTTGACCTTCAGCGGTGCTCGCTGACAGCACTTGCCCCAACAGTTCGTGAAGGCTATACGGGGGATCTTTGCCTTTATCTGTGTGCGCATGGCTCCACTCAGTCTGTGCGTCTCGTATGTAGGGCATTCTCTCGCGGAGCGGTGGTGCAGTGATGAGCCTCATTGCGCTGTGGACCTGGTAACATGAACCTGAGTTCGATTCCCGGCCTCGGCTAACAACACGGGCGAGCGATATCTGAACCGGGTGTTTGGGCCGCTCCTAGGTCGACGCAGCCTCAAATGTGTATACCTTGTACGGCGTGCAAACATTAAGCACTGGGGAGACAAAGCAAGTCGGGTGACATACAGGTTGGATAACATCACGTGTCCTAGCATCTTTGTGCGCGTGCAAACGTGTATGTGTGTGAGACAGAAGCGAATTAAACTCTGAATATCTGGGCACATTAAGTGTGCTCCTCCAGCAGATGAGGAATTGTTGGCTTTGTCATGTAACTAGAATGACTCGCCGGATAGAGGGAGGGTGAGTGGCACTGATCTGGTAAGATTAAAATTTTAACTTATTGGATAGGCGGCTGAATGGTATTAGCGGTATCAAAATCGGCCTCGTTTCTTTTTCCTCTGCTGCCCCCAATGGTCTGAAACTCCGTTTCTCCCACCAACAAACCGTGCTGTTGACTCCCTGCTACTGGACATCTGTGATAAAAAGAGCTTTATAGCTAATCGGATCCCTCCAGTATAATGAAATATTTAATTATCTTTCATTCAAGACTCAATACCCTATCGTATATGAAGTTACGTCGCGCTTTATTCCAAGGCGCTTTACAACATCTATAAAATTGCACGTAACATGATAGTGGTTGAAATAAAGAGTGAGGTTATTAATAATGGTGTGGTGTCGTTGTGGTGATAGGAGAACAGGTTGCAGTGGTTAAGGAGGGGCTGGGGTAGGCCTGATCGTAGCTGGGGGGAATACCAGCAGGAGTAGTGATCGGGGTAGTGAGAGCGATAGTGATATGGGTCGTGATATAATCAGAATATGTAATTATACCGGAGGAATCCGATGAGCTATGACGTCCTTTTTCACAGGTGTCCGATAGGGGCGGGCCAGAACGTTTCAACAACAAACAATACAAAAAAAACACGATATTAGCGCAAAAAATGTAAGCAAATAACTTTTCAAAAACACAAATAAAACTAAATTTTTCTTTATGTTACCAGGTAAAGCCCACTGAGCTATTAGCTTCCTTTTCAAAAGCAACCTGGCCACAAATGATAGCTCATGTGGACATTTAAATCAGCCCAATAATCTAAATAGTAGTGATAGGGGTTGGGGTAGGTCTGGTTGTAGCGGGGTGGGGGGGTAGCAGGTGTGGTAGGGTCTGGCTCGGATATAAGAGATGGGTTTCAAGGGCAATCCGTTCCCTCTGCAATGATTGCGGCTCCCTCCTACACAAATACGGCCACTGTTTCCGCACAGCGTCTCGGGATGTAGTCGCATTTTCGACGCGATACGAATTCAAAATTGTATACGTTGGACGATGATCAACATTTTGTGGCACGTCAATCGGTGGCCATCGTACGGACGCCCTGGCCCTCGTCGCGGGAATGTGGAATTGTACGCACGGTGGGCGGCCGCTGAATGACGACTAAGGTGGTGGTGATGATGATGATGCGGGGATGCAAGCGATGTGCGCACGTGCACGTACGCAGCGACGTCACGGGTGGGGATCACTCGCTTCCTTGGGGGGACGGGGGGGGTATCATCAGCCCTCGCCGTAATTGATACTCATAATCAATAATATAATCGTATTCGTAATCTTGATGAGTAGCATCGTATTAATCATCATCATTAATATCGTCGTTTGTAACGTAGTATTAATCTTAATTTAAAACATCGTATTGATAATTGAATCATCATTTGTAACATCGTAGTAATCAATTATAATAATATCGTATTAATCAGAATCATTAGTAATATTGTATAGTATAATCATTAATAACATTGTACAGTATTCATAATCCATAATAACACCGTCATCATCCTTAAAAAAGAACAATGTGCTCATCTTTTAATATAGTTCAGTATTTATAATCACTCACAGCCATCATTAACCTTCGTCATCATTATTTACCATTGCCAACATAATCATCATTAACAAACAAGAAAATCATCACTGGCCATCCTTCATCAGGGCTCCTCATCCACCAGACCCACCCCTCCCCTCTGCCGGTGTCATCATCGGAGGGGGATGTGGAATATTTTCCAGAGCTCGGCCCCGGTCAGCTCCAGATGAAATTCAGCCCTGGTCTTCACCATGCGGCCTCTTAGGATTGAATCTTTTCAGCTGCATTGATTGAAATTCAAGCAAACTCTGGACCGGTTTCGATTCACAGTGCCACGTCAGAAGATTCAGTCAGACTTTGCATGAATAAAGTGCCTGTATTACAGGTTGGAACATTCTTGTTGACTTCGATGCTGAAAGAGAGGAATAACCGGTCTCCACGCCTTTACGGCACATTACGAAATGTTTGGATGTTATAATTATTAAAATACCTTTCTCAAAAACAAAAAAATTCCGCGACCTACATTTACATCCTGGATGAGTCTGCTATATAAAATAGTTGGTACCAATGGCGGAGCCAAGATTTTCAGGTAGGGGGAGCAACCCCTCCAGCAATGAAAAATGATAGAGAAGTTGTTCCTAAGTAAGGAATTGTCCCTTGCTTTTTATTGGACGCGTGTGCGGCGATGGCACAGCCATCGATCGAGGGTCGAATTCGAACCGCGGTGTGTGATCGGCATCGCGCTGGCTGAAGGTGAATGCCTTCAGGGAAGTCGTGGACTGTATACGCAACTGCGCACAATTCTGTGAGTCGCTTATAACCGCTTTGCCGTTACTTATTGCCAATTATGGACTCAGACTATTGTCCTATCATCTCATAGAGTCCCTGGCACATAATAATATGCTACACAGTGGCAGTGGGGGGTCGCAAAATGCTGATTTATTACTAATAAACCCCAATGATCCGATCGAAATTAGGGATTTCGATCGGATCATTGGGGGGCACGTGCCACCCCCCACTGGCTCCGCCAGTAGTTGGTACATTGTCTCGTGAAATGCATTGGCTTTAAATACATTATTTGGTGATAATTGCGTTGGCAGTGGTGCACAACCACAAATAATAAAACAACTGAACACATGTGTTAATAATTATGGTATTAAAAAATAACTAAACGTTTGTAATCGGTGACGTTTCGGGCAATGTCTCTTCTTTATAGCACACACAGAGACCAGAGAGATATAAGGACGTATCTTGCTACTATCCAAATATCTCCACCACTACCCCAAGTATTGAAACAGTTACAGATCCGAGCTATATGGGTTCTGATACTTGCAATATCTTTGTACTGTTTGCCTGTTGGCGTTATCTGGTCTGACTGGCAAGACAACGGGATAAATAAGGTAGTCTTTGGTGTAGGCCAATCAGTTTCAAAGCCAACGCATATATTATCAGAGCACGTTAATTTGCATGTTTTGCCACAAGTACGTGTGGTTAATGCACACTGGATGCCTTGCAAAATGTATCGATTTGGTGTTCAAACATCTTAACGCAACTGTTTTATTGTCAAAACGGGTAAAACCCCATCCTTATATTTTCATCGTCTTAATGTCGTTTGTGACGATGTTCTTCTTCTACTTCGAATAATTCGGCGACGATCTGCAGATCGGAATCCTCAGCTCGCAGAGCGCCACCACGTGGCGTAGCAGTGCCACTGCGCGCCACCACGTGGCGTAGCAGTGCCACTGCGCGCCACCACGTGGCGAAGCAGTGGCACTGCGCGCCACCACGTGGCGTAGCAGTGGCACTGCGCGCCACCACGTGGCGAAGCAGTGGCACTGCGCGCCACCACGTGGCGTAGCAGTGCCACTGCGCGCCACCACGTGGCGAAGCAGTGCCACTGCGCGCCACCACGTGGCGTAGCAGTGGCACTGCGCGCCACCACGTGGCGTAGCAGTGGCACTGCGCGCCACCAAACACGTGGTTCCGCGTCCCACTCGCGTCGTCCTGCAACCCCCCGGGCAGCTGCTGAGCAGCTCCCCTCGAGACTCTCACGATGCCCTTCGACACGAGGAGGCTGCAGGGCCCCGAGGACTCCCAGTCGCCGCTTCTCTTCTGCGCTCCTGCGGCCCAAGTCGCTGCGGGCCCCCGGGCTCTGCTCGACGGCCGAGGCAAGCGGGCCGACGGGCGCGCTCCGGACGAGCTGCGGGCCTCGTTCGCGCGTGCCGGGCTGCTGAGCCAGGCCAAGGGCTCTGCCTACGTGGAGGCGAAGAACACCAAGGTGCTGTGCGCCGTGCACGGACCCAGGGAGGTTTTACGCAGGGAGGACTTCAGTATGAGAGGCCGCCTCTACTGCGACTTCAGGGTGGCGCCGTTCGCGGGCGCGCGTCGCTGCGAGGCGCGGCCCCCCGGCGGCGACGAGCGCGAGGCCGCCCTGGCCGTGGTGCAGGCGCTGGAGGCCGCCGTGCGCCTCCAGCGCTACCCCAAGGCGCAGATCGACGTCTTCGTCACGGTGCTGGAGGACGACGGCGGGGCCCTCGGCGCGGCCGTCACCGCGGCCTCCCTCGCCCTCGCCGACGCGGGCATCGAGATGTACGACCTGGCCGTGGGCTGCTCCGCGCGTCAGGCCGGTGCCGTGCTGCTGCTCGACCCCAGCGCCGCAGAGGAGTACGGGCGGTATGGGGAGCCGGCCCCGGGGGAGGGGGCCCCCTCGGTCAAGGCGGAGCAGCACGGGGGCCTGACGGTGGCCCTGCTGCCGTCGCTGGACCAGGTCTCGGGCCTGGTGTGCCAGGGAGAGTGGGACGAGCAGGTCTTGCGGGAGGCCGTGCGGGAGGTGGTGGATGGCGCTCAGCGTCTCTACCCGCTGCTCCAGCAGTGTCTGCTCAGGGCCGTGCGGCGCTCGGTGCGGGCCCCAGAGGGGCCACCGGGTGGGCCACCGGGTGGGCCACCAGCGGGGCCACCCGGGGACGCGGGCAGCGACGCGGGGATACCCCCCGGGGAGAGCGAGCCCTGAGGTCGTGACCCCGCCACAACCTGAACTCTGTTCGATTTCAAGCTTTCGTGACTGCAGGGATTCATCTTATTGGTTCTTTCGGTAAAATTACGTAGAAGGGAAATAATAAAATAAATGATTGTTTTATTTTTATTATTTCCCTTCTACGTGACTTTACCTGAAAGAACCAAGAAGATGAACCTGAACTCTGTCTCGGTGCAGCGTGTCCAGACCATGGGGTCAATTATATGTTCGCATTACAGTTGTATTGTTCGCCGTTATTTCATTTTGCAGTTGCAATTCTTTACCAATCGCTGAACTACGATCGTAATTGACACCCCGGGGTCAGTTCGCCTTATTCTGTAAAGTTTTCCAAGTGAGAATTCTGCCAGTCACAGGTTTTTCTTTTGTAAAGAATGAAATAAAAGTCAAATTGAGTTGTTAACGAGCGGTATATTTGTGTCGCACTTTATTCTCGCGCATGGCAGCAATACTCTCAAAAGCTGAACGCCCAGCCCTTGTCGTGGTCTGTTCACCACGGCAAGAGGGCTTCAGCGAGAGTTCGTGAAGGAGAGAAAAAATTAACCCGTAAAAACAAAGTTTTCCACTATAAATCCTTTACATGCGTGGCGGCTAGAGTCCTCTCGTCCTCTGGCTTGAGATGGCTGCCACCTATGGGTCAGATGATTGTCTGCCACCATTAAGCAATTGGCAATTAAATATTTATTTTTCCCTAAACATTGTAAAATTTTGGGGGAAAAAATTTCACGTAAATTAATTGTCACGCACAACGAGTCTGTGCAAAATGTCAGCTCGATTGGATAACGGGAAGTGGGTTAAAAAACGACCGAAAGATTTGCACGGTCGTAAGCAAGCAAGCACGCAAGCAAGCAAGTGAACTTAATATAAAGGATTTAAAAATACGACCGTGGATTACTATATGGTTAATAGTTTGGGGTTGCTTGGCCCCACAGTCGGCATGACTGGCATGAATGTGGCACTTGCCTTTGATTTCCCATTCATGAAGGAGATGTGCGCATCGGCCTGTTCATGCATGTTTTGATGCAGTTGATGATTTCGCCAGTTTCTTTGAGGAATGTCAAAGCCAGGAGATGCCATGTTTGGTTCTCGAATGAGATGTTAATTCTGGACACGCGCGTTGTTCCACTCTTTTCGCCGAACTTAGTTGCTATGCAAACTATGTGCAATGCCATTGTAGGTGGTGGGGTTTTTTCCGTGTAAATCTCCCCAATGCTGATGTTTACACAGGGTACCAGGCACTCGTTTAAGGCTGAGTCGACCTCTTGGAGGCCCAGTTCAAATAATTGTCACTGGTGTTGGCCATGAGCGGGAATTTAACTCGGGTTTCTGGGTTCGTAGCGCTGTTCTCTAATCTCAAACTCCCCCGACACGCACCCATACATTTAAACACACTCTACTCGCATTGATACGTACATCAACGCAGAAGGTCGTTCTCATTTTGAGGCCGATTGCACCTAGGGGAGAGCCACCCACACGCATTCCACCCCATGCCGCTCTTCGTCTGGGTTTCCCTAGTTCTTATAACCTCGCTCATTTAAAAAAGTTTCTTGACCCTTTAATATTAAAACTGTAATCGTGTGTTTTGTTGGTGGCCGCAGCCCTTATACCATATAATCAGTATCAACATGGTCGTCATCATCATAAAAAATAATAGAATCGGCAGCAGCAGGTACATTAGCAAAATCATAATTGCCATTATAAAATACAGAAATACGAATGTTCATCATAAGCTATATCATTGCTTTTGCAGCATCGTAATCAGTTTTCAGCAATTACATCATCAGTGGTGGACAAGCACAAATCACACAAAACCTGGCACGTTCATTGATAAAACTGGCCTTATAAGGAAAATTATAAGAGGCGACGTTTTGGGAAATAGTCTTTATTCATATCACATTTATTAAAACAAGAAGTTGGCTACAAAATAGGCAGCATCTTCAATTATATCATCATCATGATCAGCTGCGCCAATTACCATGAGCAGCTTGATTAACTTGCCCAATAAACATGCAACGTTGTTGGCATGTGGTTCAACCAAAAGTTCCATGTTTACTGGGTGGCTTACTCGGGTTATACAGGGGCGGTTTTGTAATTGTAGAATACAGACGTTAAATTGACATTTTTCGTAGCCCTGGTTGAATGTGTAGTTTATTTGGGGGAATGTAACGCGAAAGTATTTTGTCTGAAGAATATACTAGCTCCCGTCATGGGAATGTGGAATATCCATCACTGGCTCGGTCGCTAAAGTATGAGCTGGGCAGATAACAACGCGTGAATGATAATGGGGGTATTTTTTTTATTGAGACATACTTATAGAGACATACTTTAATACTAATGTATGTCTCAATCTTCATTCAAGCAGGAGAGGGAACCCTTATACTGTATTTGCATTTTTTGTTGTTGACTGGTGCACAACTCAACACATTTTCCCAAAACACTTCCCGAAAAGAACAAGTATATAATAGGCGGCGTTTCGGGCAATTGCCCTTTTTTTAGGAAGAAGGGTAATTGCCTGATACTATCACCTGTTGAATTCCCAGCAGGGCATGTCTGGACAGATGAATCCCATTAAATACACGTGCAAAGGTTAACGGATTGAAATGGGAAATATTAAACAAAGGTACAGTATTGCATTATCATGGGACCTCCCTTGCCGGTATCAAAATATCAGAATAGGTTTTACCCTTTCTGGCAATAAAACAGGTACTGTATTAAGATGTTAAAACACCAAACTGAAACCTTTTGCGAGGAATCACGTCTGTATTAACCACATTTCTGGTCATATATGGTTAATGTAGACGTGATTCCTTGGAAAAGGTTTCAGTTTGGTGTTTTTAACATCTTAACACCTATATTCTTGGTTCTTTCGGTAAAGTCACGTAGAAGGGAAATCATAATTTTTATTGTTTAATATTTTTCTTTACCGAAATAACCAATAATATGATTCCCTGCAGTCACTAAAGCTTTAAATACAAATCTTAATACCTATTTTTATTGCCAGAAAGGGTAAAACCTATTCTCATAGTATTACATTCCTCTACCGTAAATAGTGGCGTGTGTAACGTGACGATACAGCCGTGTCAACATCTGCACATGGGCCAAGTCTCAAAATATTCACTTCGCCACGTCACCGTGGCCTCAATCGCCCCAATGACGTATAGTTCACGCGATGACGTCAACGTCATTAATCGTAAACGTCAACAAAATCACATTTGACGTTTGTGACTAATCAAATGACGTCACGGGGTTGTCATGTATCCCGCGTATCACTATGTGATTGCGCAATTAGATCGCGTGTTATTACGTCATAATCTGTAACCGCCGTGGACTGTCCGCGCCTCGCCGGGGACACTACGTCACGGGTCTCAATCCGGCAACGCCGCTACTGTGTAGTGACGTCATCACGTGAGTCTTTGCTCCATGCTGGGGTGGGTTGTGACGTCACCTGTGTGGTTGGGTGCTGGCGTTTGTATTCGGATGGCTAAACATTCTACCGAGATCTGGTGGCATTGTGTTGAACTGCAGGACAGCATTGTACTCGGCACCGCGTAGTTTTGATAGACCAAGGCTCACTGAGAGATTACGTACGGTATACGGATATGGTCTTTGGGGCCGGGCATAAATGACGTCACGCGCCTAGGGGAGTGGGGGTCAGACATTTGTGACGATGTGTGACAAGGAAGGGGGAGGGGGTTGTTGAGAAATGTGACGTCACATCAAAATGCGCAACTTTAAGTAATTATAAACAACACGTTCTACTTAATTACCGGTAAACAGACTTTTTAATAAATATTTTCTCCTACAACATCAGAGTGCAGCGCCACATTAAATACGCACTACAATGACAATAGTTTAAAGCGATTTGAAGCATGTTTTATTTGGGGAGGGGGGGGGCAGAGCTTTGTGACGTCATATTTAAGGGGGGGGGTCTGACTTTGTGACGCCGTGTGACTGGGGGGGGGGGGGGTCAAAAAATCGTCCATAATCGCGTGACGTCATTTATGGACGGCTCACTCACAACCACTCCCTGGGGCATTAATTTACGAATTAATTTGCAAAGTCACTCGATAATTCACCCACTTAATCACGCACTCAGCCACCCATCCACGAGGGTTTCCTGTCCAGGGACTTGACATCTGTGTTCGGGTGGCAAAAATCGATTTGTACCGATATCTGGTACCACTATTTGTGTTGAACTTGTTTTACAGTAAAGTGCACAGCTTTCATTAACAGAGGTAGGTCAACAGCGGAAAATGTGCAGACCCCAAAAAGGTACAAGGGGCCGTCCATAAATTACGTCACGCGATTTTGGACGATTTTTGACCCCCCCCCCCCCTCGTTACACGGCGTCATAAAAAGTCAGACCCCCCCCCCTCAAATATGACGTCACAAAGCTCTGCCCCCCCCCCCCAAAAAAAATATAACATGCTTCAAATCGCTTTAAACTATTGTCATTGTAGTGCGTATTTAATGTGGCGCTGCATTCTGATGTTGTAGGAGAAAACATTTATAAAAAGTATATTTAATTAAGTAGAACGTGTTTATATTTAAAGTTGCACATTTTGATGTGACGTAACATTTCTCACCCCCCCTCGTCACACATCGTCATAAATTTCTGACCCCCCCACTCCCTTAAGTGCGTGACGTCATTTGTGGAGGGCCTCCAACCTGTGAAAATTAATGGATCAAAATAAAAACAAGGTATTTACTGTTTTATGCGCATTGTTTTGCGAAATAAGTGCTCGACCTTTGGGGATGGATCAATTTCCAAAACAAGTGAAAAGAAAGCATAATTATGTTATCACGCACACAAGTGATCACGTTTCACAACGCAATTTCACTTCAAACGTAATTACGTCATCACGTACATATGTGGGGCGATCAGTGTAATGTAAAACGTCATAGCGTACACACGAATGCTATATTCTAACCGAAATTGTATCTGCGTATGACGTCATATGAATGGGCGGGGTTATACACGAGGCCCCGCCCCTGTTGATCTGGAGTCACATCCATTCCCTGTTCAGAATCTGAATATTTATGCAGGAGAAATATTTATTTATGCTGGAGAAATCCGATGAACTATAAAGCTCTTTTTCGTGGGTCAGAACGTTCTCCTTGGGGTGATAAATTATTTAATATTTTTTTAAACCATCTAGTTCGAGAAGCTTTCCATGGCTGTACCAAAGGAATTTATATCTGGTACTGATGATACAATGGGAGGCAGGCAGATCGATGCCCGGGTGCGGTCAAGAGATGGCTCCCTATTGATAGATCATGTTATGAATGCTGATGATCTGGTAGTTGCTGCTCGCTCTGAGGAGTTGGAAGCTTTACTGCTGAACCTGGAGTGACCGATCAACTCCACCAAAACTAAGCCCTTTCCTGGGTACTTTGTGTCATGCAACTCCCTATATGAGTCATAGGGCAGTTTTCAAACCTGGGCAGTGTGTTTTATGCACAGGTCCGGTTTGTAAGCGGAGGTCAATCTCCAAATCAGTCGAGCGGCATTATCTTGTCATCAGCTGCGATACGCTGCTGTGTGGAAGCTACCTTGTCTGTCGCTCCACACACAGCTTCCGGTCTTCTCGGCCACAGTTATGGCCTCCCTTCTCTATGCTTGCGAAACATGGACCCCTTTGAAGGAACACATTCATGATGGCCTGCCTACGATCCATCCAGGGTTTAACCAGGCTGGATTGTGTCATGAGCTTTCACATCCTTGAAAGATTTGGGTAAATTCCCATCAGTGAGCTCCTCCGGCAGGCAAGGCTGCGTTGAATGAATTACGTAGCTCGCATGCCCAGCAACCGCATGCCCAAACAGCTTCTGTTTGGCCGGATAGCGGGCCAAACGGGCGCAGCACGGGCTGGAGGAGAGATGGACTGATGCGGTACAGAACACATTGTCCTGCGGAGGGAGCTGGTAGGAACGTTGGGTTACTCGGACAATGGCCTGCAGGGTCAACGGCGGCGTGGTGTATTCCGCAAATATGCCCGACTGCGAGGGCGGGCACAAGCCGGCGTGAGTAGGTTAAACGTTGAGTTGTATAAGGGCACCACGGGGTGACCAGCCCCTCCCCACCCAGCCCCACCCCTCCCACCCAGCCCCACCCAGCCCCTCCCCGCCCTCCCCACCCAGCCCCTCCCCGCCCTCCCCACCCAGCCCCTCCCCACCCTCCCCACTCAGCCCCCCCCTCCCCACCCAGCCCCTCCCCACCCTCCCCTCTCCACCCAGCCCCACCCCTCCCATTTTTGAATGCACGACGGACGGACACAATAATCCCTGTGGGCTGGTGGAACCAGGAGGTTCCTACCAGTAATAACCTGGAGCTGATTGGATTTGCTGATGACTGGTACCAGCGGTGTCAAGATCGGCCTCAGTGGAGGAGGCTCGTGAAGGACGCTACTGGGCAGTTGGAGGTAGTCACCCTCCAACAACAACGGAGGGCGGAGGAGCGACGCTCACAACAACGAGCGGAGTGCCGGGCGGCTAAAATGCAGCAAGTTGGCACAATAGGGGGCACAGCTGGTGGGTCTGTCCCGTGACAGAATCAGAATATGTATTGACACTGGAAGAATCCGATGAGCTATGAAGCTCTTTTTCTCAGATGTCCAGTAGGGGGCAGGTCCAGCGAGCCTGCGACACTTCACGTCGCTTCGGAGTGCCACCTTGCCTGGTGCTATCGGCGCCGCGGTGACGTCAACAGCACTTAGTGGCGAATGACGACTGTTGTTGTTGTTGGTTGATGGGGGGAGGGGGAGGGGAGGGTGGGGGGGAGGTTGAGAGGTGGGGGGAGGGTGAAAGGTGGGGGGGAGGGTGAGAGGTGGGGGGGAGGGTGAGAGGTGGGAGGAGGGTGGGGGAGGGTGAGAGGTGGGGGGAAGAGTGAGAGGTGGGGGGAGGGTGAGAGGTGGGGGGAGGGTGAGAGGTGGGAGGGAGGGTGAGAGGTGGGGGGGAGGGTGAGAGGTGGGAGGAGGGTGGGGGAGGGTGAGAGGTGGGGGGAAGAGTGAGAGGTGGGGGGAGGGTGGGGGGGAGGGTGAGAGGTGGGGGGAGGGTGGGGGGGAGGGTGAGAGGTGGGGGGAGGGTGAGAGGTGGGGGGAGGGTGAGAGGTGGGGGGGGAGGGTGAGAGGTGGGGGGGGAGGGTGGGAGGTGGGGGGGAGGTTGAGAGGTGGGGGGGGAGGGTGAGAGGTGGGGGGAGTCCAGCACTGACGCGCACGACACCACAGCTCCCGCGCAGTGACGTCAACGTGTTCCCATCTGCGCGTGACGTCACACAAACAGGCGGAGTCATGGTGGGTGGGGGCGGGGTAGATAAGGGAGGGGGGGGGACGACTCACAAGTTGACGCATGCGCAGTGGGGCTCCTCACACAGACACTTGTCGCCCTCGAGTCGGCAGCAGTCTGCGGGCTTCTTCATCGACTCCAGTCCCCTCAGCCTCGCAGGTTCACAGCCCCAGCACAGCCCTCCACCTCCCACGACCACCAGCCTCCTCAGCCTGACAGTCCACGGCGTCATGCTGATGAGGAGGCCGGCGGCCGGGCGGCTGCGGTGGTGACGGCGGCGGCGGCGGTGGTGGTGGTTGCGGTCTGGTTCGCTTGCGAGAGATCGAGGAGAAGTCGCCTTTGGGAGCCGCGTTGGAAGCTTCGCAGGCGGTGAGAGTTGGAACGAGAAGAAGCGAGGTGAGTTTCTGGTCCTCCCTCCCCCCCCTTCCCCTGGTTGAGGATGGATGCGATGTGGTCTGTGAGGAGGTGAGGTGATAGACGTGGAAATTCGCGCACGAATCGACGCCGCTTCGGGTTTAATTGGTTGACTGAAATTGTGGGTGACAACGGAGGCGAATTGTGGGGGGGGGGTGGAGGATGAGGAGGGAATTAATCTTCGTCCTTTCTCTCGCAGGAAGACCAAAACGGGGCTGATTTGAGGTGGTGTTTCTTTAGTCTGATCTGGGTGACATTTAGTTTCGGAAGATGATGACGTGGTGATTGATCCATCTGCATCGGCGGTAGGTCGAGGTGATGTTCCAGTGATTGAGTTTGGTGGATGTGATGATGCGCTCGGGTGGTCAGTTTGATGAGGTGAAACAGCCTCCGATTCGTATTATGGTGACGAATATTAGATGGGGCATTTTATTATATTGAGGTGATGATGGGGGGTTGGTTGTGTTTTGATGACTCGAGCGTGTTGATGTTAAGTAGATTTCAGTGTTGTGGGCCACGTTTGATGGAGTAGTTGAGTCTGCTCGATGATGTGGATCTGGCACCGATTCGGATTAACGAGTCTTTTAGTACGAGGCAGACTGTTATTATTAAACTGTTGAGTTTGGACCGAATGATGAGCTGCATTCGGCTGAGATCCCAATTACGAGGTGGATTAGTCTGATCCATGTGCAGAGTTTTAGTTTGTACTGCAGACGTGGTTTAGTCTGATACAGATAGTGGCGAGGTTGACCACACCCTCAGATGCAGATATCGGCAAAGTGTAGCAGTCATCTCTCCAGGTTCGCGAACATTGCCACCACTATCACCGCCACCCCATGTGTAACAAGTCTGCAGTGGTTGTATCATACAGTAACTCTTCACCATCGCTACAGGAATGAGGAATTTGCACCTCTGGCATAGAACAGGGATGAGCGCTACCCCACACCCATATCGGTGTCGAGATACTGTACTTTCACAATTGTTGTCATCGTGGTAGGTGCCTCCGCCCGCCTAAAATCTGACCCAACTACTTCGCCAACATTGATCAACGCAACCTCACAGAGAGACGGGGACAGCTGAGCTATTGTGGTTGTTATCTCTTCAGCCCTTGACGTTGGTGGTCATCTCTTGGCATCCACCTGAGATGGCTTCGAATAACTTCTCGCCCCGTGTCTCCCGCTCACAGATGAACTCATCTTTCGTGGAGGCAAACTGGTCCCTGGCCGTGGCGGCCACGGAGGCCGTGGCGGCACTGGTGCCATCGTCCGGGATGACCGCCGAGACGACCGTCACGCTGGCGCCCATCGGCCCCACAGTTGCCCCCGACCATGGCAACGCCACGCTGCCGCTCATCTTCCTGCAAACGTCGGCCGCGCAGGCCATCTCTGGCTTCTTCGCGTGGTGCGCGCTGCTCATCACCTTCCACCAGGTGAGTGCGTGGTTGACGGTGGGGGCAGGTGTCGCACGTGGGCAGCGGTAATGTAGCGGTCGGCGTGCTGTGCTACGCTCACGGCCAACACCAGTGACGATTATCTGAACTAGTCCTAGGCCTCCCCTTGGTCGACTCAGCCTCAAATAAATAGCTACTACGGTGTGTAAACATCGTCTCTAGGGAGACAAAGGCGGTCAGGCGTGGTGCTGGTCACCCACTCCCTCGTGTGCTGTTCCGTCCTTCATAGGTGCTTGCTAACAGCACTTGCCCCAACAGTCTGTTAAGGCTATACGGGGATCTTTGTTGTTTGTAGTAGGTGTTGTAAGTGTGGCCGGTGTGCTAGGTTGTGGCAAGTTTGGATGGTGCTACTGGTGTGGTATGTTTAGTTGGCAGCACAGGTGGGAATTGAGTGACAGGTGTGGTAGGTGTGGCGCATGAGTAAGGTTTCCTAGGTGGTACTGGTGGGGCTGGTGTGAGTGGTTAGTGTATTTTCTCCTCCATAATTCCTGTGTAGTGAGGTTGATTGGCTGCTGAGTCCTTTGAGATATAGGTGTTTGATAGTTACATAGCTACAATTTTATAAGTTTTGAAGGTTTTTTTTTTTGGCTCGTATTTCAATTTGGATTTTAACCTCCGTCTTTTTGCGAAATTATGAATTCCGTTGTCAGTCTGTATTTGACGAGGCAACAGCTCACTGAGGGAGCCGAGGTCTTCAGTAAATCAAAACATGGGTCGCAGGTGAGACCTATGTATATTAATACCAAAAGAACACTATTCTTAAGTGATTGTTCAAGACCCTGTGACGTAATTGGGGAGTGGAGGTCGTGCTGTTGTCATCACCCCGAACGTTACTCCCAGCCGAATTGTCAAATATATTATGGCCCTTGCGTAACTGCAGGTTCAAAGTTTCTGTCGAAAGAGATAATCTCATGGGGCTGGTCACTTGAATCAACAAAGAGAGGTAAATTTAACGCACTCCCAGCTCGTTTGAGATTTGAAGTTTAACTTAGGGCAGCTCGTGTTACTAAACGCTTTTTGTTACAAAGTAAACGCTCAGCGGTGGTGATTTCACGCCGTTTGCGTTGATCCGTTTCAACTGATGAGCGGAACGCCTACACGGAGTCATGTAAGGTCAAGTTGGATATTAAAGTGCTGGCATCTCAGCGGCCCTTGAGCCAACAAGTGTCATTAAATGTATACTGTATATATTTTTTAGAATATGCTGAGCACTGTGTTTATTTTGGGCACTTGCTGTTTTTGTGCTCATCTTTCTTGTTACGCGATTAATTTCTTGCTTTTTATTTATTTTTGTGATGTGTTGATTCGTTATTTCCTTGGGAGGGAGAACTGATCGTCATAATTACATAGCGATTGTGATTGATATATAATTGGTTTAAAAAAATTTTGAAGACCTGGGATGAAATACCAAACATTGCTCTTTGATAGTTCCCTTTATCAAGCATTTCGGCTGCTAGAATAGACGTTGACATCTTGACTCCTTGTAACTTGACTCTTCAGAAAGAGAGATCTTAGCTAGGCACACGATTAAAACATGCGCTCGGAGAAAACCCAAGCAGCGTGCAACATTCATTATATAACTTGGTAACAAAAACAGTGAAGAAAATAAGTTGTCATGTAAATGTACTCAAATCTCGATGCCTTTGTGAAAGCTGGGTTTGTAAACAAAACAAAAACTTGCTCCTGGGAGAACCTGTTTGCATTGCAAACGAAAGGGCTGGCGCATGTGGTATTTCCTCTGCGCTCTGTGGGGGAAGCACTGCTTTGTGTGGCCACGTGACGGTCGGATCACCATGTGGCAAGCATGCTCAGTGTGGGTCATTGTGGGTTAGGATAGGGCACGGCGTGGCAAGCAGGAGAGATGCTTGCTTGGTAACATGGCTCTGTGGGTTATTGTGAGATATGATCGATGACGGTTTGGCAAGCTGGGTCACTGGGTCATGCTGGGTTAGGATAGGTTTTGGTGTGGCGAGCAAACTCCGTGTGGCAAACTAGTTCAGATATGGGTTATGGTGGGTTAGGATGGAAGATGGTGGGTGACGTCGGATCAGAGCAGGTGACAGTTGGTCAAAATGGGTCACTGTGGCTTGTGGTAGGTCACATTGAGTTATTCAAGATCAGGGTTAGTATAGGTCATTGGTCACAGTGTATTAGTTTGGGTCATCGTAAGTTTCATTGAGTTAGGTTTGGCCAGGTGGGTCGCATTGCATTAGGTTTTGGCAGGGTGGATTAGGTTTGGCCACATGGGTCATGGTGGGTTAGAGTGGATGATATTGAGTAAATTTTAGTCATGGAGAGCCAATGTAGATCAAGGTTGTTGAGCGCTCATTACCAGGCTCCCCACAGACGTGCACACGACGGGCATGCTCACGGTTGTGCTCATGGTTGTGCTTACGGTTGTGCTCACGGGCGTGCCCACAGACGTGCCCACAGACGTGCACACGGGCGTGCTTGTGCCGTTCACCGTCCCTTCCTGTCTGATTAGAAAAATGCAGAAAGCGAATGCGTACAGTAACGACTGAGAGAACAGCTCATTAAACAACAAAAGCGGCTTAATAATGAGTGTGCTTTGTGCATTGTTCTTGCGCGCCGCATGTGCGTGCACAGGCTGGGGCCAAATTTTAATTTAATGCGGTGTTTAAAATTCACTCTGCATGAGCAGCAACAGTGAGAAAGACCCCGTTTGCTCATGGCGAGCTGAGACGGCAACATCAGGGCCTGATCACGAACCACACCCACCACCGGACAATGCCCTTGCCATTGCAAATAGAAAACGTTTGTTTATTTTGGAGTCGACCTCTTGGGGCAATGATGCGGTCTTTTATGGGCCATACCAAGATTCATATCCCCTCGGCTGAAACTATTCATGGCTTCGGCCTGGAATCCAACGTCCGTTACGATCTGCCATCTCCTGCTCGTTGAGCTCTGGAACATGTGGTTTGGGTGGTGTGTTGAGTGTTCACCGGTGGTGCCACTGGTGGCACAGGTTGGTGTGTTTGATACAGCGACACCGTGTCGAATGGGCGGCACTAATTTGTTGCACGCTCCTCCTCACAGTGTTGGCGATGGCCCTGACAGCCCGGGTGCGTGTGTGTGCTTTGTCTGGGCTAAAAACACACTCGGCAGCCACACTTGCGTTTGTGTATAAATATATATACTGTATGTATGTGTGATCAGTGCTGTAGTGTTTCGCATGTGATATTATTTCAGTTGACGTGGATTAGATTCTAGACCATGTACAACATCAATGGTGAATATCTGACCCAGTCCTGGCACTCCGCAATGTCACTTAATCCTTAAATGAGTACCTGGTGTGGTGTGTAAACATCAACACTGGGGAGACAAAGGCGTATGGGTGTGATTCTGGCCCTCCTGCTTCATGTCGACTTTAATATGTGCTCGCTAACCAGAGCTCTTGCCCCAGCATTATCTTAAAATTTAGATGGGAGTTTTTGTCTTGTGTGTGTGTTTGTATGTGAGCGCACGTCGTTTGAGCGAGTGCATCTATATGTGAGTGTGTGCATTTATACGAGTACATTTGGCTTGTGCGAGTAAGTGTGTGAGTTTGTGAGTACCTGTGTCTTGTGGGAGTGTCTGAGTGTACGAATGTGTGAGAGGGAGTGTATGTGAGTACCTGTGGCTTGTGCGAGTGTCTATGCGAGTGTATGAGTGGATGAGGGTGTGTGTGTGTGAGTACCTGTGGCTTGTGTGAGTGTCTATGCGAGTGTATGAGTGGATGAGGGTGTGTGTGTGTGAGTACCTGTGGCTTGTGCGAGTGTCTATGCGAGTGTACGAGTGGATGAGGGTGTGTGTGTGTGAGTACCTGTGGCTTGTGTGAGTGTCTATGCGAGTGTACGAGAGTACGTGTGACTTGTGTGAGCACCACTCTGCGCCACGCTTCGTTTGAAATAGACCCGGTCGCCCGACCATGGGGTGACGCCATCGGGGTTGCAGGGTTTGCGTGGACCCTTCGAGTGAGACAGAAGTATAATGTGTGCAGGGATCACGTGCAGTCACAGCTCATACTTTGGTTGCTGCTGACATCTGCTCATGGCAGGTCACCTACCACAAAGCGAGGTGTGGTGGTTGGTGGTGGTGGCTGCTGCTGCTGCTGGACATTATAGTCGGAACAGAAGTAATTTAATGCGGGGTCGGCACGCGTTGCTGCCTGAGACAGCTGTTATAATTTATGAGGCAGAACTTTGTGATCGTCGTGCAGATTTGTAAGACCCAAACGCGCTGGGCTGGGAAGTGGCCGGGGATTGCAGTATAGCGATTGGGTTTGTCAACTCATATTTGCAGAATGTTGAGTGTTATGCTGTCACATGCGTAGGTTTCCCCGTCCACTCTGGCTTCCTCACATTTGCAAAATATATATTTTAAATTAAATATCCAAACATCTGACTACAGGCCCCTCCTGAGGATGAGTCTCGAGACTTTATTGAGCACGCTCGTGGGAAAATACTGTACATTACATTGTAAGGTCAATTATATGTTGCTTGAAGCCCAGTTGCAAAAGGCAGCTGAAGTGCAATATATACAAATGAAACAAAATAACAACGCCTTTACAAGACAGCACCTCGCGTAGACCCTCCATCGAGGATGAGCGATGCCTTGATAGCGACACGGCGCCGGCTGCTGTTTGTTTTATTTTTGCCCGGCGGCCATGGGTACCGGCGGATGACTGACCCAGGTCCGTATAATCCAATAGACACTGTAGACACTGGACACTGTGCACATGACCTACGAAAATGAAAGGTTCTACGAAAAAATGTTTTACCATGTTTTTTTGTTGGATATCTTAGCGATGAAAATGAACGGGATCCTTTTAAAGATGCGTCATCCGATATGATAATCATAGTAAAAAAATTTGAAGAAATGTTAGCTTATATTTTTAGGCTTGCCTTTCCAATAATTTCAAATAAAATCTGCTTATCCGCAGCACGCAGCGTGCTTCCATCGTGTTAGGGCACAGACTA